CCAATCTTAATGATTCTATGATTCTAAAACATTTTCTTCCTGTTATGGTGGTCTGGAGTGGTAATATGTGCAATGTTCTGATGGTTCTGATGATTGGCATTGATGTGTTGTACGTATATTGCGTGATTGTATTACACTGTGAAATTCAGTATTTTATTAAATAAAAAAGATTGTGAATTCATCTGTATGTAAGCACAAATCAATTACTTCTGAATGCAAATGGCTAATTGTGTACCTATAACTGTAGTTTTCATAAGTTACTGTCTAAATGCCTAGCTTGTGCATGTTTGAAAAGTGTACCTGACTCATACTTTGAGCCTCTCCTTTTAATTAATGCAAAGGACAATGCTTACTGTACTTTTTGGCTGTCAATACTACAGTAAATTTTGCAATTATTTCTTTCCAACAAACCCTTTAGAAGTACCATTGTGGGAGTTCAGCAGTGTGTATCTTAAGTCTCAGTGAAAGAGGCTCACTTTAGAAATATTTATTTCCTCTTTGACTTTCAGCTTTGCAAGTTCAACGTGGTATAAAAGAGAGATTGGGTTTGTTTTTCTCTTGTTGATTGTTACCACTGCTAAGAAGTCTGCAGCTTGTTCTAAGCTGATAGTTTCCCTGTACATCTTTGTCAGATATGAAATGACATACTGTGGATTTCTTATAGTTTCAAAATAGGATCATAGCTGAAATCAGTTGCAACAGCCATGTACAAAATTCCTCAAAGTACTAGAGGTCTGTCCTTGCAAACAAAAATACTGATCTTTTCTCACCCTTACTGAAATAAAAATGTACACAGATAACAGGTAGTTCTACTGTAGACTTCAGTAGAACTGAAGTTCTACTGTAGACTTTCAATATCCCCAAATCATGGTAGGCATTAAATAAAATATATAAAAATGTGTAATGCAATCAGCCCTTGGCTTTGGTTGTTTGGGTTTTTTTTTCCCTGTGATTATTAAAACATCTGCGCAATTAGGTGAGACGAAGATGACATTACTGTAATCTTCTTCTTTTTTAAAATTTTTTTTAGGGGAGTAAAGGACTGAACGGACAAGCCTTATTTTCTGTACGTATCTCTAGCACACTCCATGTTACAAACACACATAATGCACCATCTCAGTGGGTAATTATATGCTCATATATGTCTTTTTTATTCTTGTCCACAACCATGTGAACTCATTGACTACGTCTGCAAACACATCCGTAAACCTTCAATCTTGTTTTGATTTTGTAAGCCCAAGTATCACCACTTGCTTTCTTCCCTGTCTTATTAATATCACATTAGTTCTGTGTTCAGCGTACTGTGAATTTATGGTGTTAGCAGGCAGGTGGGATGGGGGAGAGAATCAGAAGAGTAAAAGTGAGAAAACTCGTGGGTTGAGATAAAGACAGTTTAATAAGTAAAGCAAAAGCCGCGCATGCAAGCAAAGCAAAACGAGGAATTCATTCACTACTTCCCATGGGCAGGCAGGTGTTCAGCCACCTCCAGGAAAGCAGGGCTCCGTCACGTGTAACGGTTACTTGGGAAGACAAATGCCCTAACTCTGAACATCTCCCCCTTCCTTCTTCTTCCCCCAGCTGTATATGCTGAGCATGATGTCATATGGTATGGAATATCCCTTTGGGCAGTTGGGGTCAGCTGTCCCAGATGTGTCCCCTCCCAAGTTCTTATGCACCCCCAGCCTACTCGCTGGTGGGGTGGGGTGTGAAGGAGAAAAAGCCTTGACTCTGTGTGAGCACTGCTCAGCAATAACAAAAACATCCCTGTGTTATCAACACTGTTTCCAGCACAAATCCAAAACATAGCCCCATATTAGCTACTATGAAGAAAATTATCTCTATCTCAGCCAAAACCAGCACAAAAGAGTATTTAAAACTCGATGCAGTTCCTTCAAATCTTCTATATATCACAGATTTCTATTTGCAATAAAGGTTCACAGGCTTTCTTAGTGCCTTGTATCATTTTGTTTCAGTAGTATTTGATTTAACCCCATTGGTAAGCGTGTTGTTGGCAATACCAAAATAGCATGAGTTCCTCCTTTGTCATTTTCCCCTATTATCTATGTAATGGTGTTCAGTTCCTGTGCATATTCTTTTTTGTAATTTCTTTCTACTTATCCCTGAGAGATATAGCTAGTGTTATCCTTCTCTGACCCTTCATAATTCTCATTATCTTCAGCACTGCAGATTAATTTTCTTCCTTGTCCTTTCTCTGACCTTCTTTTCTGTTCTTAACTTCACTCCCACCAGTTCCTCCACAGCTTTACACTGAGCTGCCAAATAATTTTATCACATTTATTAATTTAAAACTTTCTCCTCTATATTTGTTCTGATTTCAGTACTGCTTTCCTTTGTTTTCCTTTGTTTTTTTCCTTCCTAACTATCCTCTTTCCATTATGGCTCAACATCCCTCAGTACTTGATGCCTTCCATGCCTAAATGTTTCTGATACCAGTTATGTATAGAAAATGATAATGGAATTTTTGTCCTACACTGAATTTGGCTGGAATAGTGAGTCAGTAATCTCCTCCCTTCACGGGTGCTAGATAAATGATCTTCTTATTACTGTTGTTATGTTACCTGCTATAGCCTGTGGTTTTTACATTACATTTTTCTTTATGCTGCAGCAGATTATTTTCTTCAATGCAATTTCTGCTTTTAGATGTCATATTGTGGCTGGAGTAATTACAAGATGAAATGTGTTTTGCTCCAGAAGTGTCACCATGCATTATCAAATCTTAACAGTGCTCCTAAGAATAATGTAGTAATAATAGCATCAAATCAGTATCTGAGCTGCACGGCAGTACCTGAGTTAGTGTAGGCCCACACTGTGCCCAAGAGGAGCTTTAAAAGGGAATATTGTGCGCTGGAAATACAGGATACTTCTATGCAACCCAATGCAGATTGTAGCAAACTCGCTCTGAGGTTGGTCGT